CCCCCACTCACCACTCACCCACACTCACCCACACTCACATTCCTCCCAACCACTTTCACCATCACCACCACCGCCGCCACCACCACCGCCGCCACCGCCACCACCACCACCACCACCGCCACCACCACCACCACTACTACCACCACCACCACCGCCACCACCACCACCGCCACCACCACCACCGCCACCACCACCACCGCCACCACCACCACCACCGCCACCACCACCACCACCGCCACCACCACCACCACTACCACCACCGCCGCCGCCACCACCACCACCACGGTTCACCGAGCCCGAGGAATTTTTTTTGGCGCGCGGGCGCCATTCAAAACGTTCATTAATTTTGTGAGCAACAACAAAAATAGCGACGAGCAAAAGGAGGTCAGCGTCAGGCGACAGCACAGCCACTGGGGGGGGGCGGGGGGGGGGTCGCGCCGGGGGGGTCTGTCACTTGGCCAGCAAACACCCTGCCCACAAGTTAGATTCCCGACCCAGCCAGCCGGTGATGCAAACTCGGCACGACGCGACCGCGCACTTCCGCCACGGTGCGAAGTGACCCACCGTGGCTCTACGGCGTCGACGTGAACCACACGAGGAAGGATTACAACCCATTACTGTTCACGAGCAAGTAGCACCCCCCCACCACCCGCTCCACACAGAGCCCCCCCCCACCCCCTAGCCATCATGCCTAGATCCCAGCACCTCCGATTGGCACGGTAGGCTACGTACGGTGCGAAAGAAGTTCAACAGACGTACGTACATAGACTCAGCCAGAGACCCATAGACTCACACAGAGATCCACAGACTCACATAGACACACAGAGTCACACAGAGACCCGTAGACTCACACAGAGACCCACAGACTCACACAGAGACCAATAGACTCACACAGAGACCCGTAGACTCACACATAGACCCATAGATTCACACAGAGACCCATAGACTCACACAGACACCCACAGACTCACACAGAGACCCATAGACTCACACAGAGACCCACAGACTCACACAGAGACCCACAGACTCACGCAGAGACCCATAGACTCACACAGAGACCCGCAGACTCACACAGAGACCCATAGACTCACACAGAGACCCATAGACTCACACAGAGACCCATAGACTCACACAAAGACCCACAGACTCACATAGAGAGCAATAGTTTGTTGTCCTTCCCCCGCACCTCCGATTAACACGGTAGGCTACGTACGGTATGAAAGAAGTCCAACATACATGTGACCACCACGTTCGATGTACAATGCGCTCTCGGCCTTGCTCAGGTCACCGACTCAACATAGCTGGGGGTCTAAACAACAACAACAACAACAATAATAATAATACAGCCACGCTTTGGGGCCCTCTGCTGAGTCGGTGGTCTGGACAAGGCTGAGAATCGCCGTGCGTGCGTGTCGGTCACGTGGCGCTGCGCACGGCAGGGAGACGCCGTGACTCCCCGCCGCCGGTGAGCAACTCCGGGATGCGCATCACCACTGACCACAACGCCGTTACCGCATCGCCACTGACTGCATCGTCAGTGACCGCATCGCTGCCATCGCCGGGCAATCCGTCGGGACATCTGCGTCTTCCGGACGGGGGCGGCCGGTCTGTTTGGGCCACTGTCACTGCTCCCCACTCTAATCCTTGGATTGTCTCTCCCCCCCCCCCAAACTCCAGAATGTTACGTTAATGAGCAATTACAACGTGCGGTCCATCGTCGGTGGTCCGGCGAGGGGGCGCGGGATTTTGCAAAACGCCGGATGACCACGTGAAATGGATTGTCATTTTAAAAACAGCTGAATGTTGCACATTCTTGCACGACATTACGTTTGTAGGTGTGTGTGTGTGTTTTGTGTTTTAAATATGTTTACTGTGTGAAATTGACATAGATGAACATACAAATGGACGCCAATAAATGTCCTGCTGCACAAAGTGACCGTATGCACTGAACCGTACCAACCACTCCAATCTCGAAGACTCTGCATCATGGGGCGATGTGTATATATATACGTGCAGTGTTGTCACTGTTTAAGTTGTGCAGTACGTGGTGTACAAAGTAGCCTATGCAATATTTGACACTGAAATCAAGCGCATGATACACTGATGTGACACGCGTACATGCCGGCGATCGCCGGGCTGGTTAAACAGCCTTTGGGGCGGTTTTGCCGGTTGCTGCGGGTCGGCCCGGGAACGCCGGATCATGCTGGAAGCAGCCCGGATAATCGTGCAGTGCCGGATAATCGATTATCAACCGTACATACATACCAGCTGACACAACAGTGTGGACTAATATCCATCTGTCCCATCGGTACTGAAATAGAGCGCTGCCCCCCCCCCCCCCCACCTTGAACACACGCGTAGATTCTCTCTTCCCGAGTGCCCCGATAGCCTCCCCACCACGCTATGAACACTCTCGCTCCTATTGGCCGAAATCATCTCAACATACAGAGCGGACTGCAGAGCGGGGGAAGGCAGCTCGCTGCTGCCTTCCCCGCTCGTCCGCGGTTCCCCCCCCCAAACCCCCGCGCGCTTCCGTGCATCACGACTTGTCGAGCGATGGTGAGACGAAACTAAACTCAAACTATAAACAATTTTTTGTTTTTTAATTTTGCCGTTTAAGGCCCCACTGAGCTACGTAGCTCGTTCGCAGAAGCCACCCAGCCGTCGCGAACGATGGCTCAACGAAGCGGCTTATCGCGCGGAAATTGACATCGGCCAAAATATTATGAAACGCGTGGCGATGTTGACTCCGAATGTTTCTCTCTCTCTCTCGCGATCACGGCGAGAGAGAGAGAGAGAAACGCGCAAAGTCAAAATATCCAGCAGCAGTCGGGATGGAACGCACGACCTCCTGCGTACCCAGGCGAGGTAGTTAACATCTCCCAGCCACCGCGGCGCCCCGATTGGCATCGCCGTGAACGATGCCCTCGGTGCGAAACGTAAACACTTCGCGGATAACGAAGCGTCCTGCGTCGGCAAGTGGAGCGTGGCCACAACTGTAACCAAAACAACGCGAGGCATTCGTCAGCGTAAAGGCGGGTCTCTCCGTGCACCGCATAGGCGGTGCCGAGGTCCAAGCCGTTTTCATTTTAAACACTATTATTATTATTACGTAACACACCCCCCCCCCGTACAGCGTTGACAAGGCCGTCGGGGTTGAGCGCTGTTCGCGAGCAAGCGCCTACGAAGGCCGGCACGGCGCGTGAGACGGGGGTCGGGTGGCCGGCACAGCGGTTGGCCGCTTTTGTCTCCCCAGTGCCGATGGTCACGCAGCGCACTCGGTGCTCGTCTGAGGCTGAGTCGACCTTGGGCAGTCCTGTGACCGAGTTTAGATGTTTTGCCACGAATGGTGGTCGCGAGCGGGGAATGGAACTCGGGTCGCCGACAACAACAACAACAACAACAACCGCTATTCGCCACTAAAGTGGCGGTGATGTCACCGTGGTGCCTGTGCCAGGCTACGTGCACGTCGAGGCCACGTGAAGTGTCGAGGGGCAGACGCAGGTGCCACGGGTCGACTGACTGAGATGACTGGCCGATGTGCCACCTGTGCCAACTTGCTGGTACATACGCACGCGTGCGTACAAATCGCGCCCTGACCTCAACGCAGCAGCAGCAGCAGCAGAATTACTGCCGCTGCTGGCGCTGGACACACACAGAGAGAGAGAGAGAGGGCAGCCCCAGCGCTTGCTGCGCTGACAGATCTGAAGCGATGAACTCCGCGTGACGCCTGGCGCAAACGTCGGCCAAAAAGACAACCCGCGTGGTAGAAGCCGGCCACAGCTGACGTTGTGGCTCACCCCCCCACCCCACCCCCCACCCCCCCCACAGCATCGAGCGGAGGAATTTAATAACGCAGCTCCACGACTGCGAAGAATATCTTGGACGTCTTTCATTCTCGAGATTTATTTTGGTGGAATCTGCCTTTGCTGTTTTGTTTTAAATCTTTACCCAGCAGAGAATTACGTTAAAAAAAACACATATATATATAAAACACGCGCGGCAACGGATTGAATATCGGACGCAGCTGCTGCGGTGCGGGACGCGTTATGTCGACCTGGCACGATCGAACAGATTCCGGGCAAATGACGACGTCCCCCTCGGCACTCCCACGCGGCCCAGTCAACACGTGAACGTCGCTGGGCCGACGGTTCCGACCAAACGCCAACGTTGGCCCGCCGACGTCGGCATGTTTACTGGGTACGTGTGTGTGTACGTACGTTGAACTTGGTTCACAACGTATGTAGCCAACCGTGCTAATCGGAAGTGTGGGGGAAAGAGAACAGACTGAGTTTCTGTGTGAGTCTATGGGTTTCTGTGTGAGTCCATGGGTCTCTGTGTGAATCTGTGGGTCTCTGTGTGAGTCTATGGGTCTCTGTGTGAGTCTATGGGTCTCTGAGTGAGTCTATGCGTCTCTGTGTGAGTCTATGGGTCTCTGTGTGAGTCTATGGGTCTCTGTGTGAGTCTATGGGTCTCTGTGTGAGTCTATGGGTCTCTGTGTGAGTCTGTGTATGTATGTATGTTGAACCTCTTTCGCACCGTACGTAGCCAACCGTGCTAATCGGAGGTGCGGGGGAAAGACAACAGACTGCACGGTTGCTTGGTGCGATGTCCGACGTTTCGCTCCACGAGTCTCTTATATCTTCGTTCGCCGTTTATGATCGGCAACTCTGGCAAGTCGGTGCCGGTTCCGACTCAGGGAAGCACACCGCACCAAATACTCACTGAGTCAACCTAGGGGAGGCCCAGGACCGGTTCAGATAATCGTCGCCGGTGATGGGAAGCTTCGTAGCGCAGGGCGCTAACCACCGCTTTCAACAGACTGTTGGGGCGAGTGCTGTTAGCGAGCAGCACCTATGAAGGCCGGAATGGCACACGAGGGGGTGGGTGGCCAACACCACGCCCGGCCGCCTTTGTCTCCCCAGTGACGATGCTTACACGCCGCACCAGGTACACACCAACATACACGCACGGGTTGAGACACAGACGCCCGCGTGTACCTGAGCCTTGAGCATGTCCAGCATGGTGGCGAGGCCCTGGAACTCCTGCTCCAGCCGGGACAAGCGGCCAGCCGTGTCTCCGGAGGACAGGGGAGGGCGGGCAGCGACGCGCGCCACCGCGTCCGTGTCTAGCCTGCACCACAAAGACACCCCCTGGAGCCTTAACAGACTGTCGGAGGCAAGCGCTGTCGGCGAGCACCTACGAAGGCCGGCACGACACACGAGGGGGTGGGAGGCCAGCACCATGCCCAGCCACACACACACACCACACTTGCCACACACACTGCACACACCACACAGACCACACACACTGCACACACCACACAGACCACACACACTGCACACACCACACAGACCACACACACTGCACACACCACACTTGCCACACACACACACACACCACACAGACCACACATACTGCACACACCACACTTGCCACACACACTACACACACCACACTTGCCACACACACTACACGCACCACACTTGCCACACACACTACACACACCACACTTGCCACACACACTACACACACCACACTTGCCACACACACTGCACACACCACACAGACCACACACACTGCACACACCACACTTGCCACACACACTGCACACACCACACAGACCACACACACTGCACACACCACACTTGCCACACACACTGCACACACCACACTTGCCACACACACACCACACAGACCACACACGCTACACACACCACACACACTGCACACACCACACAGACTGCACACACTGCACACAGACCACACACACTACACACACCACACAGACCACACACACTGCACATGCCAAACAGACCACACACACTACACGCACCACACTTGCCACACACACTACACACACCACACTTGCCACACACACTACACGCACCACACTTGCCACACGCATTACACGTACCACACACCCTAGCACCGGGCCCGCCCGCCTTTGTCTCCCCAGTGCTGATGTTTACACATAGCTCCAGGTACTCATTTGAGGCTGAGTTGATCTACGAGAGGCCCTGAACCGATTCAGATAATCGTCACTGGTGTTGGACGTGAGCGGGAATCGAACTCGGGCTTCCGGGTTCGTAGCGCAGCGTAGCGCTAACCACAACACTACCGCTTCACATACACACACAGACACACACACAGACACACACGGGTAACCCAAGACCTCATCTGAGTATTAACTGCCACGGTGGCGGGTTGTTAACTACCTTGCCTGGTGCGCAGGAGGTCATGGGTTCAATCCTGACTCTGACAACGCCTGCTGTATATTTGGAGTCTGCGTGTCTCTCTGTCTCATCATCAACACGGTGGCTAGGAGATGTTAACTACCTCGCCTGGTATACAGGCGGTCATGGGTTTATCCCGACCCTGACGACGCCTGCTGTATAGTTGGAGTTTGCGTGTTCTCTCTCTTTCATCATCAACACGGTGGCTAGGAGATGTTAACTACCTCGCCTGGTATACAGGCGGTCATGGGTTTATCCCGACCCTGACGACGCCTGCTGTATGGTTGGAGTTGGCGTGTCTCTCTCTCTCATCATCAACACGGTGGCTAGGAGATGTTAACTACCTCGCCTGGTATACAGGCGGTCATGGGTTTATCCCGACCCTGACGACGCCTGCTGTATAGTTGGAGTTTGCGTATTCTCACCGTGGATTTTTCTCCGGGTCCTCTGGTTTTTCCCTCCACATTTAGAATCGACGTCACGCGCTCAGAGTGTCTGGCCGCTATGAATCTGCGCGCGGTGATGATGAGCCCACTTCGTTGAGCTATCATTTGTGGCCACGTCGCTTCTGGTAAATATCTGTAGAGCTTAGTGGGGCCTTACCTGGTAAACCAAAATATTGCTTCGGTTCATCTGGAGCACCGTGCCAAACCCTGCCCCCCCCCCCCCACACACTCACCTGTCTGCCCCCCCATCACCGCCACCGTCACCGCCAACCCCCTGGTCCGCCAGCAGAGGAGAACCGTGACTCCCGACGCGTCCACCGCCACCACCGCCACCGCCACCACCGCCACCACCGCCACCACCGCCACCACCGCCACCGCCACCACCGCCACCACCGCCGCCACCACCGCCATCTCGGTCCATGCCACGGTGCCGGCCTCCGCGAAGCTTCACCTCCCTCGACGCCAAGTTGAACGCTTCCACGTCGTGCCTCTGGGCGTACCCGCCGCCCCCACCTCCTCCTCCTCCTCGTCCACCTCCTCCTCGCTCGACACCGCCGCTGTCGTCGTCATCGTCTCTCTCATCGTGGATGTCGTCGGGGTAGTAGTCCAGCTCGGCGTCGGGCTCCAAGCCCCGCGGCCCATACAGCGCGTAGTCCACCTCGTCGTCCACCTCGTCGTCCACCTCGCCGGGCACCTCGTCGTCGTTCCCCAGTCGCGTGTCGTCCACCGGGAGGGGGTGCCTCTCATCGTCGTCGTCATCTGCCGCCGCCACCTCGTCGCCGTCGCCGCGTGGGCGAGGCGGGGCCGCCGGGCGGAATCGAGAGATCGGCGCGTGGTGACGCGCCGAGCCCGGGGGACCGGCAAATCCCGGCCCCGTCTTCCCGTCGGCGTCCTCCTCCACTTCGCCAACCGGCGGACGAGCTTCACGAGCATCGTCGCCATCACCACCGTCGCCGCCATCGTCACCGTCGCCACCATCGTCACCGTTACCACCGTCGCCACCGTCGCCACCGCCGTCGCCACCGTCACCGCCATCGCCGCCGCCGTCGTCGCCGTCGTCCACTTGAAAGCCCCCAGCGAGCCGCTCGTCTGAAACGGGCCGCGTGGCACCGACGATGCCGGACCATCGGCCGTCCAGTTGTTGCGAGCCAGCGTCCATCGATGGCTCGAGTTTGGAGCCGGGGTCACGGCCGGGGTCACGGCCGGGGTCACGAGTCAAGTCGGTAGTTCCTCCCCAAGCTTCCGCATCAGGGCGTTCCGTGGTCGTCGCCATCCGATCTTCGTGGGAGACGCGGTGGAACGAAGGCCAGGCCCTTCCACCAATGACGTCGTCGCCGCCGCCATCGTCGAGGTCACTCACCGGGCCGAGGCCTGGGGCCGCGGGGAACTCTCCGAAGACGTCCGCGGCGCTCGCCGAGTCCGTGCCGTCGCTCTCAACGCGACCTCCGCCCTCGGCCGCCCCCGTGACCCCGTCCAGGACCGACGTCTCGACGAGCGATGAGTCCGGCGCCGGCGGCAGGCGAAGTCCGTCGTCGTCTTCATCGCTCGCTGCCGCTGTTGTCGTCGTCATCACAGAGGAGCCGTCGAGTTCCGTGGTCACCGGTGCCAGGGTCGTAGGGCGCGGGGTTGTAGGGCGCGGTGTCGTGGGGCCCGGGGTCGTGGGGCGCGGGGTCGTGGGGCGCGGGGTTGTAGGCAGTGTCGTAAGGCGAGGGGTCACAGGGCGTGGAGTCGTAGGCGGGGTCGTACGGCTAGGCGGGGTCGTAGGGCGTGGTGGGGTTGTAGGGCGTGGTGGGGTCGTAGGGCGTGGTGGGGTCGTAGGGCGATGTGGGGTCGTAGGGCGCGGCGGAGTCGTAGGGCGTGGAGAGGTCGTGAGTCGCGGGGTCGTGGGTCGTGGGGTCGTGGGGCTGACCGTGCTGTTAGTGGCGGTCCCTTGGGGTTTTGGACCGAGGTCTTCATCTGGAAAACAAGCGAGGAATTTTCATCATGCGCAGAAGCTCAGTTTGCCACCAGGGGTCCTACAGTACAGCAAGTGGGTTGCAAGGCTGCCCGTACAGATGTGAGACTGTATGTCACCTAGTACGGGGTGGAGCATTGCGCAGTGTCTATGACTGTGCTATGAACCCGGCGGCCTCAGTTCGATTCCTGACCGTGGCTAACATCAGTGGCGAGTGATATCCGAACGGTCTGGGGAGGCCTTCATCCAGCAGTGGATTGACACACAGTTGTATGTATGCATATGTGTTGGACTTCTTTTGCACCGTACGTAGCCAACTGCGCTAATCGGAGGCGCGGGCGAAGGACAACAAACTAAACAGACAAAGCGGTTCTAAAGAAATTAGTTTTCAATCTAGGTGATTTACAAGTGCATTTGCTCCCAGCGGTTTCCTAATATCGGAAGCAAGAGACCCATTGAAACCCACAGAGACCCCCAGAGACCCATGAAGACCCATCGAGGCTGCACTAGAAGTGCATCTGAAAGCGCGCGGCGGTGCGGTGACCACCGTCTTTGTTCGATGGTTTAGCCAAAAGCCGCTGCTACTACGAGGACGACCGGAGTGTCGCACCATGGTGGTTTATGTCCCTTGACGAGATCAACAGCGAGGCGTTGTTCGTTCACTTGCGGCCGCAGAAGCGCATCCGAGAGCGCCGTGCGGCGACGCACGCTCTGCCGGTGGCCTCGCGTACGGAGCAAGCGGCGTGCGCACGCACGCCGATCTTTTTTCGCGCCGCACGCGGCCAACACGGCACGCAGGATGTTGGGGTTAGGGTCAGGGTTGGTGTCGGCGCTAGGGTTCAGCGTTGGGATGAGAGTCCGCGCCGGAGTGCCGGTGTTCAGCCGCGCGTTCGTCGCGATTCGAGTGACGAGTTACGAACGGGCGGCCGGGGGCGGCCGGAGGAGCCGTGGCCGCGCGCGGGCGGCCCAGCGGGAACGGCCGTTCGCAGCGGCCGCTGCACGTGGGGCCGCGACTTCGCGGCCGACGGGAGACGCATCGCGACGGGCGCGAGTGGGAGGCGTCGCGAGAGGTCATGACCCCCCCCCCCCTGCCCCCCCTGCCCACCACCCCTCCTCCATGCGGAGGACATTCTGTTGTCTTTCTGATTCTTGCGTTGCTTTGAAAAGAGAATAAAAAGCCTGGCTCGTGTGTGGGTGGTAGGAGCACGGTTAAATATGTCCGTTGCGACCATCCATCCATCCGTGCGTCTGTCTGTCCGTCTGTCCATCTTTCAATCTGTATGTCTGTTTGTTTGGCTGTCCGTCCATCAGTGCGTCTGTCCGTCTGTCTGTCCGTCCGTACGTTTGCCTGTCTGGCTGTCCGTCCACCAGTGCGTCTCTCCATCTCTGCGCGTTTGCGTGTGTCTGTGTGTTCGTCTGTCTGTCCATATGGTGTTCGCGAACAGCCACGTGTATCGCCCGAGCAATCTGTGAAGACTATACGGGAGTGACGGGAGCGGGTCTTTGTCTTTGTCCACGTGAGCTTCTTTCCAGAAACCATTTTGTCTTTCTGATTTGTTTTTTTTTTTCTCCCGGCGGCCACGATCGGAGTCGCGGTGACCGGCCCGGCGGAACGGAGCGGAACGGGGAAGCGGACGACGCAGAGCCACTCCTGGCATCTCCTCCTCCTTCCAAGCGGCCTCTCTCTTCGTCACGCCACCAAGAGGGCAGCGAGTTTCCCACCCTCGCCGTGGCCACGTGAGAGCAGCGATCGCCGCATGACAGACAAACACATACAGTGGGACCCCCCCCCCCCTCCATAACGACCACCCCTGTTGACGACTAATCGCTTAACGATGGGCCTCCATACAGCCCAATGTGTCGTGTATAGTGTAGTGTATAGTAGTGTATAGTGTAGTGTATATTAGTCTAGTGTATAGTATAGTGTATAGTAGTACATAGTGTAGTGTATAGTAGTCCATAGTGTAGTGTATAGTGTAGTGTATAGTAGTGTATAGTGAAGTGTATAGTAATACATAGTGTAGTGTATATTAGTGTATAGTGTAGTGTATAGTAGTGTATAGTAGTGCATAGTGTTGTGTATAGTGTAGTGTATAGTAGTGTATAGTGTAGTGTATAGTAGTATAGTGTAGTGTATAGTAGTGCATAGTGTAGTGTATAGTGTAGTGTATAGTAGTGCATAGTGTAGTGTATAGTTTAGTGTATAGTGCAGTGCAGAGTAGTGTGTAGTGCAGTGTATAGTGTAGTGTATAGTGTAGTGTATAGTGTAGTGTATAGTAGTGTAGTGAATACACTAAACTACTATACACTACACTGTAGTGTATAATAGTGTATTGTATAGTGTAGTGTATAGTGTAGTGTAGTGCCTCCATAGAGCCCAATGTGTTCACTAACTGACCATAAATATTAAATAATGCATCGATTAACCGTGTTTCTTTTAATATTACCTGTTTATGATGTTGTTAGTATATTTATGTATTGATATCCATTGTTTAAAATATAATTAAGTAGGTTTTTTTGGGTGAAAAAGGGGTAACTTTCGATGCTATCGGAACGAATGAGGCCTTTAACGTGCATTTCCTCTACCCGCGTAACGACCGGTTTCGTGGAACCAGTGACCGTGGTAAAGAAGCGTTCTAGTCAATGGGTTTGCCTGTCGTGCGGTGATCACTGCTCTCACGTGGTACAGCGGGTGGGAAACACGCTGCCCTATCTCGACCGATATCCAATTCTCAGAGTTTTAACGTAGCCAGATTGAGTGCAAAAGAGCCAAAGTTAACGTGGATATTGGTGACCCGACTGAGACCCGGTTTAATCGCAGGCAGTTAAAGCATTGACAGCTCAGCCTGATCTGCTGTTTTTTCTCCATCTCTCTCTCTGTGTATCGATCTATCTGTGTGTATCAATGCAAGGGTGGGGGAGCGGTGGTGTCGCGGTGAGCGCGGAGTCGCTACGAACCCCGGCGACGCGAGTTCGACACCCGCTCACGGCCACCGGCGACCATCTGAACCCGTCCTGGGCCTCCCCTAGGTCGACTCGGCCTCACGCGAGTGATCGGACGCACCCGGGGGGGAGAGGGGGCAAAAGACGGCCCCGGCGTGGCGCCGTTGACCGCGCGATCCCGACGAGCGCCGTGCCGGCCTTAATAGGCGGTCGCCGGCAGCACTTGCCCCAACTGCGCGCGCAGGCTACACGGGCGGAGTGTGGGATCTTTGTCTTGGTGTCGATGCGTGTCGTGCATAAGAGGGCGCGGGCGTCGTACGAATCAAATAAACCCCCTCCCGAGGGACGCGAGGCACGGGAACAAAGCGGGGGGACCGGCTCGCACCATCTTGCTTCAATTTACTCCTGGGTGCCGCTCAAAATTAACTTCTTTTTTTTATTTTTCAGACAAAGCTT